GGATTACACCTTGATTTCAGCCCAGGATCACTCTGGCTAACAGATTTCTTATGGATTCTAGGGCTGGAGTTTTAATCAAGTCCTTGCATATATTTTCTTTGGGCAAAATTGGACAAAGTTAACTTCAGTGTTCGTTTGGCTTGAACAGACAACAGCAGAATTAGGTGCCATAACCTTCTTTTGAAATTATGTCAGCTCTGCCATGTATTAAGCTTTGATATCAGGTTTCAAATGGGAGAACAGCATTCCTAAAGTATAAATCTGGGGAATAAATGTTAGGAAGTTTGAAGTATTGTGTTATAACTGCTCAGCTGAGATAAAGTATTCCTTTACTTTGCTCATTCCACAAACACACATTTCCTTGTTTCCAGTCCCAAGTACTGAGACTAAGTCTGAATCATGTGCTGATATATATAAAGCACATCTCTGTTTCCACTTGGCTATATGTTCATGGAGCATGTGAAACAAAACAGGCTGTTGGGACCCACCTCTGCAGATAAAACTGTGTTAGAGAGCTGTTCAAAGGAGGTCACAGCTCTAAATCTTCCTTGTGTGAAGTTAAGCTCCATGTCCAGCTTCCCAAGGCTCTGCCTAAAATATTGCCCTGAATATTGGACATATCTGGGTTAAAATAAAAATCAAAGTTTCCTATTGCTAGCAACAGCATTAGGAGAACCATCAGGAAAGAACATGTCTCTTGTCCCAAGGATGCCTTGAAGCAAACACAGCCCTTAGAGGTTCATGGGATGAAGGGATGAGCAGGGATGGAGCTCAGGGAGGGCAGAGCAAGGGCATGGCATGAGGCCTTCACTCTGTCCTGCTCCCTGTTTGCCTGTCAGTGAAGGAGAGATCAACTCTGTGGCAGCAAATGGTAAATAAATGATACTTTATCCAGGGCTTTGCCTTATTTGCATTATGACAAATGGCAGGTAACACCAGAGAGCTGCACAATCACTGTGCAAAAGTGCTACAAACTGCTCCCAAATGCAGTGTGCTCCATCCTTCCCTCACACAGGACACACTTCTGCAGGATCAGATCCTCATTCAGGCCTTCCACTGCTTTTTCACAATTTTTTCCCCTAATTTTTTAGTTTTATTTAATTTTCTTTATTTTTTTTTTTTTTTTTTGTTTGAATTGACCAACTGCCTATCTGCCCCTGGCTTTATCAAAGGAGCCACCAGGACCAGAGCACATCTAATTTTAAGATGGCTTTAGTTGGCAGACTTAAAACTGATCATGCATTTTAGTTTCAGTAACTTGCAATTTCTGCAGGCTTTGATAGCACACTTTAAAGAACAAGTCTTCTTTAATGACAAAGGCTTAAAAGAAATGACCTTTCTGAACAAAATATCAAAGCTTGGAAAAGAGTCTCAAAAAAGTCTGAATTAAAATGACCTTGTGTTCTGAAACTTTTTCATACAATATCTGATGTCTCACTTTGCCTTTGTACCCTCTGAACGAGAACAGCTCTAATTTAGTGGTGTGGTGCCTCCAGCCCATTCTGTGACTTGGGGAGGACTTGCAGTGCATGAAGATAATTAAAAAGAACTAATCAGATCCCATACACACTCTCTATGAAGACCACTCAGCACCAGAAGCAAAGCTGTGTTTGTCAGAAAATTCAATCAAACCCTGGAAGATATTCTGGTGATCACAAATATTTTCTTCTAGTCATAAGAAAATTGTTTTCTGTGCAGCAAAATAATTTCTCAGTTTGAAAGCACCACAGTCAGCAGAGATTTGGGCAAGCACCAGAAGTATCTGCTGTCTCCAGCACAATCAGAGCTCTGTTGCAGCCTCGAGGAGAAGGAGGGAGGTTAGATCCCTTTTCTTCCAGCTGTACCAGAAAGGAGCATTTTTTTGTTACCTGTAACACAAGAACTGAGTGGCACCGAATTAAAGTGTCACTTTGGTCAGGGTCACCTCCCTTGGTACTGGTGGAAAATGTTATGATGCCATTTTCTTGGGGGGAGGGGGGGTTTGTAGAGAGTGAAACAATCTTCTCTCGCAGAGCAAAACTGGTGAAATAAATACATAAAAAGTACAAATGAAGTTGGAATCACACTCAGCTGGTTCTGCCCTGGTTTTGGGAGAATGAAGCCAACTCCTGGCAGCTGGCATTTCCTTACTGAGCAAGGGAAAGGAGAGCAAGGAATAGGCATGAAAACCTTTCCAATCCTGCAGTTTGGACTCTAATTCTTCCCTGTTACAAAAGTCATCAGAGAAATATTAGCTACCACCAGAGAACTCCAACCCACCTTACATTAAAGTTCTTACAAGGTTCATAAGCACCTTCAAAGTGGTCCTCAAGCTGTAGTTGAGGTTGGAGAGAGTTTCCCAGAGGTTTAATACTCCCTAACTGACCAACATCTACATTTCTCAAACTGCTTTATGATCACCAATGACATTAGCAACTCAATTCCATCAAAAAGAAGGAAATTCAGGCCTGGATCCAACTAGATAGAAGAGGGTCCATGTGTTTCTTGATGGATGCACATCCCTTACTGCTCCAGAACACTACAACCATGCACATAGCATGCAAATACACAAGCAGAGCAGCAGAATCAAAGATGCTTCGTTTCCTTCATGCATAGAAGAGATATCACTGCCCCATGTCTGTTGTTGGCACATCCCAGTGCCCACAGCCTGCAGCCCTGTGAGCTCTCAGTGCCTCTCCCACACAGCCCAACCACCACAGCCCTGCACCTCTCAGGGGAAAGACATTTTACTGCCCACAATTCACTAAGTGCATCCCAACAAATCCCTCCTCCATCTCACCTGTGCCCCAGGTGAGGCTTTGTGGCACCTCCTCCCTTATCAGAGCCCTGACAACTCTTTATCTCTAATTAGACCAATCACTTGTTGATTCAAGGAAGGTGGAAAACCTGCCTGGGCCCAGACTGGGCTGACAACCAGCAAAGCACCCAGAAGCTGGAGCCTGGGGTTGGCACTGCCTGCCAGAGCCTCTCCTCACTGATCTCAGTGCCAGGCAGAGATAAGAGCTCAGCTGGAGAGCTGGACCCAGTGGGACCCTCTGAATTCTGCCTGGGCTGTGGCACGTGAGCACCAGTGGCACCAGGGTGAGGGAGGAGAGGTGGTTGTCCCCACCAGCAGTCTCAGAGGGTCTCACCACTGGTGCCAGTGCCACAGCTGGACTTAGAAGACAGGAATTTCTGGCCCTCTCTCAAGCATTCAGGCCAATATTGTGCCTTGATCCAAACACTGCCAGCAGGAAGCTGCCTAGGGAAAAAAAAAAAAAGCAATTCCTGTGTTCTGTATATCTAAATTTCCACATTACAAATGTCCATTGTGGCTCATGGATGGCCAGAAGGTAAGGATGCTGTTCCAGGCCAGCTACAAGGACAATCTCCTGTCTAGGTCCTTCAGCTTCTCACTGCTCCTCAAAGCTCAAACCCTCTGGAATCTCCCAAATCTCCCAGGATTACTGTGGAGAGCTGCCACGTGCCCACACAGGATCAAGGCCATATCAGCTATGACTCCATTCCAAGAACACCCATAACTGTGTTATCAGACAATGAGGAAGGACTTTTCTGTGCCCACTGCAACTCAACAGAGAGAACTGGCAGCAGTGCCTGCAGTTGTCATGGTGTTTTCATCCCTGTGCCAAGATTATTCCTTGAAACACAGCACATATTCCCAGTTAACAAAGCCATACAAAACTTTGGTGGCTACTTAGGTGAGTGAGATGCCCAAGCAGGACAATAATGGCAAAACAAAATATAACAAAATAAGAATATTTTAATATTATGTGAACACAAGGACACAGAACAATGTCAAAATATGTTAAAATATCCTGGATGTTCGTAGTAATAGAAAATGGGATTTTCTTCATGTTATAGAAGTGGGGAAAAAAATAGTATTAGGAAGTGATAACAAAAATTGTAGAGCAAAATCTCCTTGCTCGGTAAGCGAGCTCAGCCTGGAGTCAAACAGCATATCAAAAGCATAAGTCTGTAATAAAATAATGATAAAAATAATGGAAGGAAGATACAACAAAAGCCATGCTGGCACGAGCAATGGATGTGCTTTCATGAACTTTACTTTTTTGTGCTAACAAAAGAGCCACAAATCTTTGCATTTTAATTTACAAGAGCCAAATCTTCAAACCTATTCAAAGCAGTCCATTTGGCAATCAAAGGGATCCCACTGCTCCAGCAGCTACCTGAAAAGGAAGAGATTCTCATTAGTTATAGCTTAGTATTTTTATTATAAAAACACAAAAGGCTGAATGAAGGTTTGGGTCCAGTGGGCAGCAAGGCTGGAGCTTTCTATCTATCCAACAAAGTTACCTATGCTGGACATATTACCAAGAATTTATGACATTTGAAGTTTCCAATTAGCTGTAGCTAATTCCTGATACCAAATAGTTTAGGATTACTCTTTTCAGGCAACTTTCACACTGCTAACATTGTCACAGTTGTATAAATATCTTACAAATGTTGACACTGGTTTTTCCAAACACACCTTGAGAGTTGCAGAAATAGGAAATATGCAGAGATATGAAATACCATCAAAGTCTATAAAACCATTAAAAAACAGAGTGGCTTTCCTAGGAAGTTTCCTTGTACTCACCTCTCCACGTGAATCACTTACTCTAAAGGCACAGCAAAGCTTTTTATGGCTGCAGCTCTTGCCATCATTTATATTGGAGGGTGTAAACATCAGAAAAAAAAGCCCAGGCTCAGAGAGATCCGGGACTTTGAAGATGTGATCTGTAATATTATGCATTGCATCATTGTTTTCTATCTTAAAAGGAGGTGGCATCAGCACAGAGCTGCAGCTGTGCACTGAGCCACTGCCTCATCAGGATCCTGGAGGCAAAGCCCAGACTTGCAATGCACCTGCAAATTCTCTCATCTTGCTCTAATAGTACTGACTAAGCACTGGGGAAAAAAAATGCTCAGATGCTTGTTTACTGAAAATAAGGATCTTTCAAAACTGCAGCCATATCTGAGTGTTTGAATTATGCTGTAAAACTTCAAGATCCACAGGTGTGAAACAGTAGGAAGGGATCAAAGGTAAAGTCATACTTTTTGGGGTGGGAGGTGTTCAGGTCTTCCTGGTGGACTCTTTTCTGCAGAAAACATACCTGTAAAACACATCCCACATGAAAACAGGGTAAAAAATGCTAATTGATATATCCAAGCTCATTTCATAAAAGGCATTTCTTCTGGGCTATCCTGCCTAGATAAAATGCAGCAAGACTTCAGCTGCATATTAGAATTAATACTGGATAGAAGACTGGTTTTCTGTCTTCCCTGGCACTGCTCCAGCTGCCCACTCTCTGCTCCTTCAGGGACAGAGTCAAACCAGTTGTTAAACTCAGCTGGTGTGGGCTACAAGGGTTTGGGAGCTGCAGTTCTCCTCTCAGCTCCCTGTGATTCCTCTGCTCCTGTGATGGAGCTGCTCACCTGTTCTTCAAGTGCATGAAAAAGAATGTTTATTAATACACTGCATCCACTGTTGGACACCTCACCAAGAGCAGCCAACCAGCCCTTTATATTTAGCAACATTTTTTAGACGACTTTACCCAAGCCTCAAAGTTATTTTTTTCTTTTTCTGTTGTTTATTTTTATCCCCGCTCGGTTCTTTTAGAGCCAGCCTACCCTCTTCATCCTCCTCCAACAATAAATAATCCTGACAGGTGCAAAGATTCCACTGCCCTTCTTGTCTGATGTTTTCAAAAAGGAATTTCAGCAATTTTCAAAGCCCAGGACACCTGTGCTGCAGAGCCACGACAGTGCTGCAAACACAGCCAGCAGCTATGTGTTTCTGGGAGAGCACCCAGGTTTTCATGTGTGCTCTCACTCCTGCTCCTTTGAAAAGCTGCTGCTGCTGCTGCAAACAGAAGCTCTGCAGGTGGATATCAGATTCTCCCTTCTTTTAACTCATTACAAGGTGTGGGATTCTTATATTAGCTTGGAGTAACACTTCCTACCAGGCAGTGCTAATAGGCCTTGTTAAGAGGCCTTAAAAATAGCATTTTTACTAGCAGCTGGAAATAGATTTCCCCAGTAGACCCTTAACTCTTTGTTTCTCACAACTATTGGAATAAGAACATCACTTCCATTCGGGATCCTTGGAGTGTTTACAACCAGTGGTGAAGTTGTGTCACTACTCACACAGGGAAATGTGAGTTTCCACCATGAACATTTCCTGCTTCCATTGAAGGAAGGGGAAGTGTCTCATGCAGAGCAAAAAGTGCTGATGCATTTGCAAAGGGGAAAATAGAATCATAGAATTTAAGGGTTGGAATGGAGCTTAGAGTTCATGCAGCCCCAAGCCCTGCCCTGGGCAGAGACACATCCTCACTAGATCAGGATGCTCAAACCTCATCCAACCTTGAACACCACCAGAGTTGGAGCAGCCACAGCCTCCCTGGGCAACCTGTGCCAGTGTCTCACCAATAAAAAGGGAAGAAACCCCAATTACCCCAACCTGGTAATTTAATAATTGCCAATCACCTCCATAGATAGAGTTTTTATAAGAAAGAGAAATGGAGTTTGTAGACCAATAATTTCCTGAAAAATGATCCTGAAAATTGGTATAAGGTGTGTGCTGATACCAAGCCTAAACTTGTACACCATGTCCTCAGGGTTTTTGCTTTTGCCAGAGCTCATGGCAGCTCTGAGTCACCACCTTTGCACTGCCTTCCTCTCAATTCTTCAGCCAGGACAGATCCCAGATCCCAATCCTTCCCAATGCAGTTCAATACAGTCCTGCACTGGCCATATGTGAACACTGACAGTGTTTTCTTTGGATTCCCACTATTCCACAGCTACAATCAGCCTTCTCTATTGCTATTTATCCTTCCTCACATGAGTGGATTTGTTTTCTTCCAGCTCCCAATACACTAAATAGAAAAACACCAAATAACTTTCTGCAGGAATCATTTGCAAGAAACACACACAATTCATTAGTAGTTCCCTATTTCCACTCACATTTGGATATTCCTATTAGCCAATTTAATAGTCTATTTGATATAAATCATATTGATCTGACTCTAGAAGAGCTAAAGGTCTGCAAGATTACAGACAAAACATGACAGAAATCTGTTGGAGCCCCTTTGTATAGGAAAATGCAGGAATACCACACTGATAACTTGGACTAAGAAATATCCCATTTGCTTTATTCTATAGGCTGGAAAGAAAATAAAACTTTTTCTAATCCTCTTCTGCACCTGTTACAGGCAACTGCTAAATGATTCCTTCAGGAGAAATAGGGTAAGGAAGATGAAAGATAACTGGGTGCTGTATTTGAAAGGTTGAGAATAAAAAGCCTAATACTGAAGATAACCAATTTCTCCTGGAAAAAATGGGATCAGAAGGTACAATATGGTAAGCCTCAAGGTGAGGAAACAGGAGGAGAAAAGCCTTGTGAGAGATGACTGAGAAGCATGTGAATGCTGCCGTAACTATTGAGTATTTTTGATCAGATTTTGGACAGTCATAATTTCCTGTCGAGAAGAGATGGGTTTATCCACTCCACGAAGCTGAAGATGAATGATAAGTGATTTACCTGAGATTTTAAAGACACAATGGTGTCTTCAAGTTCCTTTCTGGAAGATGCTGGCATCATCCCTTTAAGGATTTTTTCATGTTCTTCTTGCATATTGATCAACTGTAACAGAACAAAAAGACATTTGTCTATAGATGGTGACTCTTAGACGCTGGAGATAAACTTTTTTTTTTTGCTTCTTTTGCCCAAATTGGAGTCCAAGGAAACACAGAATTGTGCTATCAAGGGAAAGGGAAGGAGGAAGAAGAAAGATTAGCAAAGATCCATAAAAAGAGGCAAAACAGACCAAAAAAAAAAAAGGAAAAAAGAAACAAAAGAATAAAAATATATGGAGAGGAAAAAATACTGAAAAAGAACCAGTAAGGCATTAGCTGGGACATGGTCTGAAGAGGCAAAAATCATTCTTAAATCCATTTTAACTGAGCATTTATACAGACAAGCACTTTGCAAATTATAGTCAGGAATTTTCTTCTTGTCTTTGGTGGGACCTGAACCCTGTGACTGGAGTGACATTTGTGCCTTGCTCCCTTGGACAAGGTGAATTACTTTTTCTCAAGACTTCTGTACAAAATTTCTTAACTTTGAGGTGCTTTTCAGCACTTTTAAAAAAAATTATTCATCAGGCAACTGTTTTTCATTCCACTTTGTGTCTTTCTCAACTTCATGGAGGGATTAAATGCTCACTTCAAATTCAGCAAGGACTGAGGTGTTTTTCTGGATTAGCAGCTGAATATGTAAATAAAGGCTCAAAGGGATTCAATATCGGATCAACTCATAAAATATCTCGAAACTTTCAAACTGAATCTTTTCTCCAATGGTGCTCCCACCAACACCACTCGGTGCTCGTTTGTAGTTATTAAATCACTGCAATCAACCATTGCAGCCACAAATCAAAGCCTCAAGTCTTAGACCTGAAGAAGCCACGAGTTACATTCCCAACTCCCTGCAAGGAGCACATGGAGCTTCCCCAGGTGAGAACCTGGTGCAGAGTTCAGCCCAAGATGTGCCAATCACCACCTCATGGCAAGAGCAGGTCGTGCCAAAATCTGCATCATGCAATTATCAATACAAAGGGCATCAAACAATCTGATGAAACATTAGGAAAATTCTCCCTGTGAGTCATTCTGACACGCAGAAGAAATCACCGAATCTTTATGCAAATCAACAATTAGAGGCTTTCCCAGGGAACTGCAAGGAAGTGATGCCACTATGCAAATCTAAAGGGGGAAAAAAAAAAGAAAAAGGTGAGACAGGAAACCTTGTTTGAACTCTCCTTGTATATAAGCCAGAGATCAAAATTTATGTTTTTCAAAGCTACACCAATAAATTCATGCTACTATTTCTATCAAGGCTTCCAAAGTTATGCATAGGTGCTTTGCCAGGATAAATATTTTCTGAGCCAACAGCTCATTTGGGTGGGGACCTTGATAGAGTAGAAACATATATTTCAGTTGATTCAACATGTTCCATTTATTCTGGGTGAGACAAGACCAGAAACAGGCAGTTAGAGCATTGAAATGCTTTTACTCCCTTCATTTTGAATCATAAAGATCTTTTTTCACTCTGCATGATCACCTGGCCAATATGGAGATGCACCAAAAATTTAATACAACTCTGCGAGGGAAATAATAATGTTCCAATTGTGCAACAGCCTTCTTGCAACCAGGTTTTAATAGCTTCATCTGCAAATGTCCTCTAAATGTGCTTTCACAATGCAGGTAACATTTGCTATTAACTCCACAAAGCACCAAGGGATCATTCCCTTTTGACAGAGGTGTTTCTTGGAAAGGCAGGAAGAAATAGGTACTGTGCTTCAAAGTCTGGAGATATATTACAGGGTCAGCTGGAAACAGAGAAGGAAAATGAGAAACAAGCCCTAGTAGCTGCAGCAGGGCTTGGGGTTGATTCCTTGCTCTGTTTCAGAGAGAAGACACTCACCTTTTTTTTTTTCAGTGAAACCTGTTCTTTGGGCTACAACTGCAATTTGTTTGTTGGAGAAGGCAAAACATGCTCCTTTGGGCTGTGCTCACTAGTAATTGCACCATGATAAGATGAAGATAAGTTCCCAGCTGTTTCCTGCCATAGTATGGTAAACAACATGCTGATTTTTTTTGGCTGAAGTTACCATCAAGGTTTATTGACCCAAGAGATTAAAACAGAGCATGGCAAAAGTCTAAATCACTTCTCATAACTGAAATCACACCGAGGGGCTAATGGTGACTCGTTTGAATGGGGGAAGGGTTTTATTTTTGAACACTTTCTTTTTGACCAATGCAAGTTATGTCTGCAGGGATAATATTTTGTGTGCCTTAAAGGCTTTTTTGTTCTTTTATAGCCTCAAGCTGCCTCCCTAGGATCCACAAATACTGTGTCTCCTCTTGCACTCTTGAGGGATGCTTAAAATTGCAATTCTTCAGCCCTCAGGAGGGCTTTAGCCTGCTGGATGAGGATGGCTCTATTTCATTTGCTGTTGTGTTCGTTTTTCTTCAGTCCTGAGAAAGCTTTTTTTCCCCCTGAAAATTCATTTTGGTGAGTTGATTTAATCCATGAACCCCCAGGAAGGTTTTATAGCTTTTAATATTAAGCTGCCACACTGGTCTTTGTTTATTCAGGTTGGTGGCTAACATATGAGGTTGAAAGTTTTGCCATCAATCATCTTTGGTGTCAGCAGAACCAACGGAAAGCTGAAGTTGCCACACATAGCTCATGTGTGCTTAGTCACATGATAAATGGGGGGAAAAAAGAAGAGATAAATATTCACACAATTGTGAAAAAAAGCAGGGGAGTTGTAATTTCACAGACTACAATGAGATTATGTCAGAGTTGGGCACTGACCATTCTTAAAAGACATAAAATTTGGGTTTGATGCAAAGAAGAGAAATATCCCAACCTGAGCTTTCCAAACCAAGGGGTCAGACCTGGCCTGATGTTTACTAGTAGAATCATAGAATTGTTTAGGTTGGAAAAAGCCTTTAAGGTCAAGTCCAACCTTCAACTCAGCACTGCCAAGGTCACCACTAAACCATGTCCCTCAGCACCACATCCAGACACCTTCTAATTCCCTCCAGGGATGGTGGCAATCATTTCCCTGGGCACTAGTGCAAGATGAGTTTCAATTTTACTACTTCAAGGAGCCTTTGGGTGGCACAACTCAGTTTTGCAGCTACTCATCATCTCCACAACCCTCAGAGGGATGTTGGTGTGGCTGGGTTAGAGGCAGGTGGGACCACAGGGCCCATGAGGAACAAACCCCATTGGGACCTCACTGTGCTCTGCTCTCTTTCCTCTTTGAAAGAAACAACTTAGGCACATCCAGGAGAAATATCCAAGCTGATCAGATGCATTTTAGTCCATGTGCTTAGAACAGCCTGGAAAGCAGAAGATATTCTGTGTCTCATCTGAGAGGTCTGTGATGCTGAGCTCATCATCCACGACACATTGGCCCAGTGCAAAATCCTCATCTCATTAAGAAAAAAGAATGAAAAAATCCAAACCCCTCAAAGAAATACAACCTTCTCCAGACTTCCCAGCTGAAAATTACTTTCTCTGGACCAGGGGAGCATAAGGAAACCACAAAAGAAGCTCTGATGTAAACATTGCCAAAGCAAACGAAGCAACCACAGAAGAGCTCTTCAAGTTCCTTTAAAAGAAATAAATCTTGTCTTGAAGGGCATGAAGTTAACATTGTGTTTATGGCAGATAAGAATCAAAAGGCAGTTCCCTTAACTAGGGTGTTGTGGGTTTTTTAGTATCTTGATTTCTGCCTGTTTATAATATTTATGAAGGATAATCACTCCACGTGTGCCAGGAAATACTAGGAGAGTGACCAAAAGGCATAATTAGGATCACTGAATTGTTATCAAATTTTCTCCATGTTTCAGGGTGAGTAAGACAAGAAGAGTAATTTCCTGTCTCTCTCAAATCCTTCCCTGAATTAAACAATTGTTTGCTACAATGGTGCTTAGAACAGAAATCTCTTGGAAAATGTTAAGCATCTGCTCTGCAATACACATCTGCAGATCAAGGGGTGAAAGAACTGCTGTAATAAATCTGAAGACAGGTCAGGCTACCAAAAAGGTAAAAATTCCTCCTTCAGCCTTAGGCAAATAATTTAATCTCAGAATAAAGTCTCCTCCTTCTAAATGAGGCTAATGATAATAATAATAACATTCAACCTCACTCAGGTGGTGTGAGATGGCTGAAGGAATTTTCTGAAAGCCCTTTGAAAAGGGCAACTGAAGGACAAATTACTACAATGCCATCCCAATTAAAACAAGCCAACCCTAATCAACAACAACAAAACCACCGAAAAACCCAACAGAAATGCAAAGAATAGTTAATCACTGCTTGTTTGTGTCATCCCTAATGGCAAGGACTCCTCCTTTGCTTCTCAGCACTCCTGAAGGCTGAGTGAGCTCAGTTCCACTCCCATAAAACCTCGATGAGTCCATATGTGTCCCCTCCTCCTTCAGTTGACCTGGGGGACACTGAGCAATGTCTGCAAACCAACCAACATTGGCAATTCCCTTGTATTTCAGATCTCTCCAGTTCCTGCTGTAAGAGAATATTTAACTGGAGCTTGAAATCTGCTGCAACAATTTTTTCCTAATGAAGAATCCAATGATATATCCATTTTTTTTCCAGTGGAGATCAAGGTCCGAACGTTTCTCTTTTCAGAAAAGAATCAAACAGAAATATCCACTGCTTTTCAGTCCACATCCTCTCTTGTTTCAGGCAGTGGCAATTTCGATTCTTCCTGTGCAATGGCTGTTGAAATATGGTTCTCCCAGATTTGGAGAACTAGCCTGCAATCTGATACAAATGTTCTCAAGTTCTTAAGAAAAGTAATGAACACCATAAATCCCATGAATTTGGCTCAGCTGAAAACAGTAACCAAGCAAGATCAGCTGAGCAAGTTATTTTGTCAAGTGAACACCATGTTGTTCTCCACTGAGAAAAAGATCCTGCTGGAGCACCTCCCCTGGCCTGACACTTCCAATAAAGCATAAATTGGTGGCACAGCCTCCTCTTTGTTTGTCTGTCTTTAGCCAGTAAACCATCCGAGCATCCAAAACATTTTTGCCTTGTTGTTTTACTAACCC